TTCTTTTATATTTTAAAATTATGTTTTCTTTTATATTAATAGAAATAACGAATTTATAGTCGGCAGTATTCTGAAAGGCTTAGAAGTAAATAAATTATCAAAACAGACTATTCGATTTACTTATAGATCTGAATTGAGGTAAAATTGTGCCCACTTTTCTTTTCCTACTTCAAAGTACATTTCTGTCAATTAATACATTCATATGTACCCTTTTAACGTTAAACTTATTTAATAACCTTATCCGTAGGTTTATTTTTATAAAAATCCTGTTTATTTTAATTATGAACACACAAACGTGTTTACAGCGGGTACGGGATGAATAAATTTAGCCTAAGTCACCGTCAAATCGTAAACGCCGGCATTTGTAATTTGCCTCGGAAAATTGCATATTGTACGAATTCAATCACAAAGCGAAGTGATAGGTTTAGTCGTTGCATAAGTTTGTTTATGTTTTTTACACATATTTCGTCTGGAATGGCTACTTTTTATCTTACTTCTTACTAATATTATATTATAAATGCGGATGTTTCGATGGGTGGATGTTTGTTTGATGATATCTCCAGAACGGGTGCATAAGAAAGAACACACATGCTACTAAATTACTTGTTTTTAAATTGATGAAGACGCGGGCGACAGCTAGTTCTTATATGAAAATACAGATTTTTACAGATTCTCCGGAACGGCTAAACGGATCTAGCTGAAATTTGGCATACATGTAAAACATAGTCAGGAAGAACACTAGGCTACTTATTAACTTTTTTAAGTCCACGCAGACGGAGTCGCACGCGACAGCTAGTTGTGATTAAATGTACAAATTCTTAGTTAATAGATTTGTCTTTTTATACTTATATAATCTACTATATACCTTATAGAATGGGAAAAAATTCAACGCATATGCAATTGCGTATGTCTATGGGCAACAGTCACTTCGCTGTTTCAGCGATTTCAGGTGGCCGCTCACTCATTTGCCACTTTATGATATATAAAAAATATAGCAATAACTTATTGTATAAGCACGTCAAATAATAACGGTAAGTTTATGAACAAACATGATAATTTGAGATGGAATTAAATTGCTCATTCTCTATAGTGAAACCTTTTAGAGAGGGAAATGAGATTTGCTCGGCACTCACATCATACATGTATTATTCAATAACCGAGGTCGCAGCCGCTCCCTACTACGAAGCAATCGATAAATAAGTACAATGCATGTTACAACCTCATTTGAACTTACTGATATAGTTTTTATAACACAATACAATAACTACTGTATGAATCTAAAATGTTTACTTAAATAGTACAGGCAGTTTGAAATGAAAAAAGAATAAAAAATAAAATCCTTAGTAACACATTCTCGACTATTTTCTATTGTTTTGTGGGCTGGGCAATACCCCAAATAAAAAAGTTTTATGTTAATAAACATAAAACTTTTTTATGAATGGTGACTAACAACATCAAAGAATTAAGTTCTAAATTAATATCCTATACAAATTAGATCAAAACTCTTATGGTAATTTTCCTTTAATTATAACTACAATAGGAAGTTGAACAAACACTCAAGTTTGTGTTCGATGTTAAGTTTCAAGGATGTTCTAACTTGAAGGCTTTCCTTTATTAAGTTGGCAAGTCTCATCAAATTGAACAATGCTCGGGGGACGATCTAACATTTACCGGAAAAACGAGAAGTTATATTTTTATAAAATTTGACATTTATTGTCTCACACAGTTGTTAATTGGACACTAAGGGTAGTCCATAAGTTTATTTATCAACTAATTATTTACTGAGTAAGACCACGTAAATAATTTGAGTGGAAGTTTGAGTTAAATCGAATCATATACAAACAAAAAACACATCCTTCGTTCGCATGCCATCCTTCGCTTAAAAACTTTTCTTAAAATAACATATTTTTGAACGGATGTTTAACCAATGCAAGCAAGTCTAGGAATCGGGCGAACAAAATATACCTACGACAAACATTACGCTGTAATTCTGATTAGCAGTCAGTCTGAAACTAGCTTTACCCTACAAGGCCATCGTGTAATTAAGGACTGACCTTTTATTCATAAAGTACCTACCATTTGATGAAACAAAGAGAAATTAATTGGATCGAAACGACATTGACGATTCATACACAAATAGAGTATTTATTATTGTTCCGTTTTAAATAACTTCTGATTGAATCAAAACTTATATTTCTTAGTATTCGAAACACTGATAACTTAAGTGAAGTAATTCCGCGTTTCGTATGATGAGTGTGCGTGCCATGCTATGCCATGCCTAATTGTAGTCCTTCTTCTCTTCCCACCATTTTCTTATAAGGAAAGGATAGGGATAGGATGTGGATTTTGATCCACGGGGCATTCTTTCTGTGCGTTCCTCCTTCGATTAAAGGAAGGCAACGCTTCTGCAATTGTAGATGTCTGTTGATATCGGACGCTGATATTTAGTTAGCCGCTAGTTCGTTTGTCACTTTGTGATATAAAAAAAAATCGCTGGAACTATGCAAAATTATTTATTACCAGTGTTGCTCAACTTAATACAGGAAAAAATATATTTTAATTTTTAAAATTAATTTGTAGTTTTTGAGTTTTTACATTAAATAAATTAATGTGAGTTTACCAAAATATAACTGTACTATATCTTTATTTTGCCGTCTTTCCTTAGTATCAGATAAATAAATAGGTTACATTTATTAATAGAAATACGGAGCGATGAAAACTATTCGGAGAAAATCAATATCCAACGAGGTCTATAATTCAATAACTACGTCTGCCAGGAACTTTAACGATAAAACTTTGAAGTGAGTTTGTGAACTAACATGCTACGCTTAGTTTAGTATATAACTACTATAATTTATCACGATTTATATGACATGATTTTGATAATAACACTGTTAATTAAAAAACTAAAAACATCCGACTGTACTCCTTCTGTATATTCTGGGATAGAATACGAATAGAATGAAACTTCACTTCTCAAATCCGTTTAGGGTTTGACACTGGTGTATATAGGACAGCTAAAAATATTAGTATGGAAATTAGTATCTTATTTCTTACTAATATTATAGATGTTTGGATGGATGGATGTTTGTTAGGTTTCTCTCCAACGTCTGCATGGATCTCGCTGAAATTTGTCATAGATGTAGAATCAAGCCTTGAAGTACATATAGGCTATTAATATTTTTTTTTTATTCCGCGCGGATTGATTCGCGGGCGACAGCTAGTTACCCGTAATTGTTTGGATGTATGGATGGATGTTTGTTAGAAGGTATCTCCGGAACGGCTCAACGTATTCGGATGAAATTTGGCATAGATGTAGAACATAGTCTGCAAGAACACATAGTCTAGTTAAGTTTTTATAATTTCGCCCGGACGGAGTCGCAGCAGTATATATTCCAGATTTTATATGCATATATTATGCATGATTTAGGCTACAGGCGAATATAATGGAACATGTTGAAAACAGCCTAAATACAGACAGTCGCGTAAAAAATATTTTATTTTTAAAGATAAAACTCGCTCGCTATGACATTTTCAGTAATCAAGAGTCGAAAGAGTTTAAATAAAAACCACAAAAAATACTTTTTGCAATAAATTTAATTAATTTTTTAATAGATAATTTGTGTAACAAAAACATTGTATACATAAAATAATAAACCTGGAATGTAGGCACTTTAATATTTAAATATTAATTCTACGTTTCATAGAATATTTTCCTGAGGAATTTTACAAAAATAATAAAATAGTTGTAGGTGAAAATAATGAATTTATATATTTATATTAATCTTTTGATTGGTTTCTAGTTTCTTATTTACATATGTATTATAAAAATTATCTATGTTATATTTTGAATTTCAGATAACATTTAGGTGTCGTAAAATTAATATACAAGAAAAATAGATAATGTGAAAAATTGAATAATTCAAAATATCTATTTAATTTTTTATTTTTATTGCAAGTTATTAGTAAAAATAACGATTAATAATTAGTATGTGAAATTAAAATAAGTATAAAAATGTACAATTATTTTATTATAAATCTATTTTGTGAAAATTTTTTATCATCTATTTATTTTATCTAATTTATCACGGGTTTATTTTAAATTTACAAGATAATGAAGAATATTCAAATATATTTTATAGAGGTAATGAGTTTTAAAATACAAATATGAATTAGTATAGGCCTATATTTTTTTATTAAAACGCCGCCGACTGTGAAACGAAATATTTTTTTCTTTTTTTAATACATAATAAGTCTTTAATTGCAAATAAATTTTTATTTTAATGAATAAATTAAATATTATTAATAATTATAGTTATAGAATATTTATGTTGTTAATAACAAAATATTTTTACATACTTAAAATAAACGATTTTTTGGATACAGAATCGCACTACGTGATCGCTACGACTCTACGCATAGCGTAGTCGAAAAACAATGAAATGTGAATTTATAGGAATTGGGCGTATAGTGAATTTGCTCATCGTCGGCGGCTGATTATACGTTAGTTATTTTAACAGTGGTCGAGCCCGCTTTAACAGTTTCGCACGAATCGGCCCGGCTCGCCCGGTGAAATACCACGACCACACAGAAGACAGGCGTGAAGCGGAAGCAATTCCGCGTTTCGTCTGATGAGTGTGCGTCTCGGAGGCCTAATTTAATCCTCTTTCCCTTCCCACCCTTTTTCTCATAAGGAAAGGACGGGAAGTGGACTTTCCGGTTGAGAATATCCATGGAAGGGGAAAATATTTTCTTTCTGTGCATTCTCTTCTCCGTCGATTAAAGGTATGCAATTGCGTATGTCTATGGGCAACGGTCACTTCGCTATTCAGCGATTTCAGGTGGCCGCTCGATCATTTGCCACCTTATGATATATAAAAAAAATATATAATTGGTTGAGGACTGCGTTTATATAATTTTCATATATTGTATATCTTATATTACATAATGTAATAGTTAATAATTAACTTGGGTTATATAAAATACAATAATTTCTCGCAATAAGGGACCTATTTCTTTATCTTTGGTAAACTATTTTTTAATGAAGACTATTCTTTACTATTATATTTATATATGCAGTTATTTCTCACTCTTGGGACGAAATCACAATAAATCTATTTAACCTTACCCGCATATTTACATTAAGTACTTTATTAAGAAAAATAGACACAATTATAACTACATTTCACTTGGAACTTTATCCTATAAAGGCATGTATACATTTTTCTTTTATACCGAGTTTTTTCAATAAATCGACACCGGCGTGCGTGAATTCTGTCGGGCCGCACAGGCAGGCGTAACTTGAAAGCTCATCATCGGAAATAAAAGCTGATTCGTCGAAAGCTTCAGATAAAAGCTCTTTAGTTATCCGTCCCTTGCGGCCGGACCATGTCGGGCTCGCATTTGATAACACGTGGGTCACGGTAAACCTGGAAAGAGGGTTTTATCAATGCTACTACAACATTACTCATTTAGAAATTTATAAAATACTATACGTTAATATATAAGCAGATTGTAGCAACATAATATTTAAGTCAGGCATCATACTCTTAAGTTTTTTTTAAGAAAATATATATGAAAAACTATTATAAATGCGAATGTTTGAATGGATAATTTCTAAGAAGGTATCTCTAGAACAGCTTCATAAATCTTGCTGAAATTTCGCATATATGTAGAATATAGTCAGGAAGAACACATAGGCTACTTATTAAGTTTTTTTAATTCGGCAGATAGAGTGGCGGGTGACAGCTAGAGAAAAAGAAGAAGTTGTCAAATATCTTACTAATATTATAAATACGAATGTTCGGATGGATGGATGGATAGAAAATAGTCTAGTGGAATACATAGGCGCATTATATCCAGCGCGGACGGAGTCACGGGCCACAGGTAGTATTATGATACATAAAGCAAAAGAATACGCGTCAATGTGTGTATAAAATATACGTATTGCATAACAGATATACCGAGTGGTATTCAAACTTTGAAGTTTCCAAGGACTTTTAGTAAATAGATAAGACCTTGACATTTCCACGCTACAAGTCAACATTTGTGAAGGAAAAATGTTAGTCGTAAAATATAAACTGTATTATGCTTAATAAAGGCATATATTTCTGATAGAGTTAAGGTTAAATGTATTTATACATTATTATGAAGAAAAATTGTATGAATGCGAATATTTAGATGGATGCATGGATGGATGTTTGATGGTATCTCCAGAACGGGGCAACGGATCTTGATGAAATTTGGAAGAGATGTAGAACATAATCTGAAAGAACACATTGAATACTTATAAAGATTTTTTTCTAATTCCGCACCTACAGAGTCGCGGGCGACAACTAGTATAATATAAGGCTTCTTCTTTCATCTAATTAATGAAAGGAACCCTCTCAAAGTATGGTAAGTTATTTAGAAATCCATTTACCTGTCATCTTGATTCATTATTTCTTCAAAATTCTCCCTAAATAAAATGTCACGTTCAGTTTTGTTGAAGAATATCAAAGTTACTCGCTCGCTGTAACAAAACAAAGTACAAAGTGGATTGAAAACGTCCAACTATTGAAAGCTTTCGAGTGTATAAAGTAATCGAAGTTTTCAATGAATAAACAATGGCTTATAGATCGTTGCTTTTAGACTAAATCGTCTGAATTTTAATTGGATTTATTTTCGGTTTTCATTATTGTTTATTAATCAAATTAATATTCAAAGACTTTATTAAAATCGATTAAAATAACCGACGAAGGCAATGAACTGCAGAACTTTAGCTTTATAATAATGTTTTACGAAAATTTTAGTAATGTTTTTTAATCTTTTTTGTGAACAAAAACAAGTAAATAAGTTAATTGTAAGGGCTCGTTTTCTAGAACTCCATTAGTGAGGCGCATTTTAACGACTTCATAGATTTGCTTTGCAACTTTCCCAATCCAATATAATCTCATTTAAAAACTATAGTCTGATATTTACGAGTAGTTTATGGCTAGTTTATACCTTGTTCCGAGTGATTTGTTAGATCTTTAAAGGAGTTCAAATCATAAAGTTAATTAACAAGACTTACCATCTCGGGTTTGATCTTGACAGCATAAATTTTAATAAACCTAACATTGGAGTGATTCCAGTACCCGCTGCTATCAATAATATCTTTCTTACTGTTTTTAACTGTAAAAAAAAATATACCTCAAACCACATTCGCAACGAAATTTTACTGCCGTAATGTATACACGAGTTATCGGTGGCTCAGGGGTTTAAGCACTTGACTTGCAATCTGCAGCTTCTGGGTTCGAATCCCGAAGCCATGTACCAAAGTGTTTTTTGATATTCGATTTACATATGTACATTTATCCGACGTTCTGACGGTGAAGGAAAACATCGTGATGCAACCGGCACATCTCTGAGTAGAAATTCAAAGATATGTGTGAAGTCAACCAACCCGCACTTGGCCAGCGTGGTTGATTATGTTGACTATGGCCTAATCACCCTTAACTTAGGGTACGCTCCGAGACCCTCAGTGGGGACATATAGTGAGCATGATGCAATGTATACATGGTGGCTATTATAATTTAATACTTTTATTAAATATATTAAAATGTAGTATGCTGTATAGTTCGTAAATTAATGAAAATATTACCTTTTGTAGTTTAAAATTGCCATAAGGACCAGATACGGTGATGTAACTGCCAATCTTCAAGGACGTCAGCATTGGAGATAATACGCCCAATTCATATCGTTTTATGGCAAGTTTGAGTGGCGCCGTGACGTCGACAGCGGCCCATTTGTCGCCCACCGGTGTATATGAACGTATACATTCAGAACCTTAGTACAATATATTGAGTTTAATAAACAATCACGAATCGCTTTTGTAAACAGTCAAATAGGGATAATTGATCTGTGGCCCTAGCATGAATATTTGTGACAATTGCCTCTGTACCGTCATAGTCGAAATTAGAATGAGATTCTAGGTGTACTTCACGCCCGACAGGTGCGATGCACCAATTTTAATAAACATTTTGTCGACGACGATACGATAGCGATCGTTACAAATATTCGTACTAGGACCACTGAACCAATAAGAGGCGCTGAAATTACTTTTGCCAGAATATATATAAATAATTATAAAATAAAATAAATAAAATGAAATATATTCACATCTATCTCCGATACCGTAAAATATTTCAATCACAATTTAGATGTTTCAGAACAGACAGAGGAAGAAAAGCCTTAATTTGGTTGCCCCAACCTTGATACTCCTCTTCTTTTGATGATCTAGATATCGATATTATTAGAAGAGTGTATTACCCGCAAGTGTTTGATGTATTCGTACATGAAACCCTATAGGTATAACGACAGGGCCGGATCGGGGCGTCAGTGCGAGAAGTACAGTATCATGTGACACAGCGCCGCTCCCCTCGACTCTGCACTCCACCGTCCTTGCAGCTGTCATTTTGATAGCATTACTTAGGCTTGTCTCTCCGCAATTCTTCCATACCTCCATTTCTGCTTTTTGTGCGATTACCTAGAATTTTTTAAATCTATCAACCCGTATTTAAAAGTAAAAGCCACAACAATTAAGTACTAAGCAAACACAATAACATGACAAGTAAAAAGCAAGTATCGCCTCGCACTTGCCCATTGGCAGAGACAACAGTCGTTAAAGGCTCAGAGCCCATGTTATTGTGGATGAGTTTGATATCTATGGTATACTTACTTCAACCTTTCCACTTTCAGCAAAAACACGCAACTGTAAAGGTTCTCTTAGTGCCTGTTCCGGCAATATTTTAATGCTTCTTAACCAATCGTCAGTTACAACTTCAATAAGTAGTTCCCCATCTATTAGTCTTGCACAAGCGCCAGGATTTGCTAAATATCCAGTATATACTGAAATCGTGAGCTTTGTTGACGTCTGTATCCAGTCGAAGCGTAAAGCAGGCGGACTATCATCATTACTTTTGGCCTCACTTTTAACTGGACTGGAAGCCGCTCTCCGACTAATCGTTACAGGTAAATCACTCGAATGTATCAAACTTTGCATTATCTTACTCGGCGGACTAGATTTTACATTTTCATCACTTTTGTTACTTATTTTTTTTCTAACCGGCGTTATACAATTAGCTAAATTCTCCATAGATTTTCTAACAAGTTCTTGAGCTTTGGACGGCTCACGTAAACGTTCGGATTTGGGTGATGAACTGATGTTATCGAAGAGATCTTCAGCATCGGGTCTGTCGAAGCGCAGAGGACCGATAAGACATTTAGCGAGGAGGGAATCGTAGTTCACCCAGGGATGTACTTTGTCAAATAACTCTGTCGCATCGATTCCCGCTCCACGCATTAATTCTTTAGGCCCTACGTAAAATAAAACATTTAAACACCGTTACGTTTACACACATTTTGTTACAACGATGAAATTGAACTTACCTCCAGGATGATATGGCAAGTAATGTGTAATGTTGTAAACCCTACCGCGTATTGCTAGCCAGGCGTCATCTAAAAAAAAACAGATTTATAGAACATTATTATAATAAACGCGTTAATAGTAAAACAGTGGTAGAGCCCGCTTTAACATCTTCGCACGAATTGGCCCGGCTCGCCCGGTGAAATACCACGACCACACAGAAGACAGGCGTGAAGTGGAAGCAATTCTGCGTTTCGTCTGGTGAGTGTGCGTCCCGGAGGCCAAAATTAGTCCTCTTTCCCTTCCCACCCTTTTTCTTATAAGGAAAGGAAGTGGAAGTGGACTTTCCGGATGAGAGGATGCATGGAAATATTTTCTTTCTGTGCATCCTCTCCTCCGTCGATTAAAGGTAGGCAACGCATATGCAATTGCGTATGTCTATGGGCAACGGTCACTTCGCTATTTCAGCGATTTCAGTTGGCCGCTCGCTCGTTTGCCACCTTGTAATATAAAAAAAAAAAAACCGTACCGTGCTTGATGGCATCGTGCTATTTGCATCCGCGTATATCTTGAAAGAGCGTCGGTGGCTCAGGGGTGAAGCACTAGATTTGCAATCTGCAGGTCCTGGGTTCGAATCCCGCCATGTACCAAAGTGTTTATCGATTTCTGATTTTACATATGTACATATATCCGATGTTCTTACGGTGAAGGAAAACTTCGTGATACAACCTGCACATGTCTGAGAAGAAATTCAAAGATATGTGTGAAGTCAACCAACGCGCACATGGCCAGCGTGGTTGTCTACGGCCTATTCACCCTTAACTTAGGGTAGGCTCCGAGCCCCTCGGTGGGGACGTATAGTGAGCTAATAATGATAGAATCTTGTGATATGGAAACCGATATTTAGACTTACTTTTTGTGTTATGTGTAGCAAGTTCCGATGGATGTACCGGTCTCATCCGACCGCCGACACCGGTTAAATCTTTACCGGAATTGCCGAGTCGAATCCAATCCATAAGACTGTGGCCGGGTTGAAGAGCACATTTGTTACGCGGATTTCCTGAATGACAAAAATTAGTTTTATATTTTTAAAACTAAATGAACGATTTAATATTTGTGTAATATGGTTTTCAATTAGCTTAAATTCCAAATGCGATAAATTCTGGCTATCACACTTTCCAAAACAAATACAACAGATTTTATACATATATTTCACGAAACCCACAAATAAAACGAAAGGCTTGTTAGCCTAGTTAATAGTTTTAACAATATTTAGTTAGCTTACAACGTTATCATTAATACACGTCTGAATTTTCGTAAAAATGTGTTCAATTAATGCATAAATTAACTGAACAGTTTTTCTTGACACAACAAAAAAAGATAATATAAATAATGTTTTATTCGTGTTTAGACTACTACTTTAACACAATCCATACCCTTGAGTTTAAAAAGTAGAATGTTTAAAACTTTAGCCAATTCAGTGCTTTGAGATTTCCTTATTCTCAAAGCGGTTTCTTATCGAAAAGAAAAGTTTCTTTTACAACAATCAGCTGCTAATATTAACTGCTTATTCACGCCTTTCTACTTTACATTTTTAAAACAAATATTTCTGTAACATTTGCAATTCTGTTTATCGTTAAGGATATTTCTTATTTAGTTATTAAAATGTCTGGATGAACACAGATGCTACTAATTAAGTTATTTTTTTAATTTCACGCGATTAGAGATACAGTCGATAGCAACATTATCTAAAAATCTCTGTCTTAAATCTAGAATTCTTATTAAATAAACGAAGTGAGCAAATATCTACATTTATAATTAAAACGATTTGATAATATCAGGATCACAGCCAATAACGTAAACCAAACCGTATACTTGCACGTTATTCTGACATGAATACAAAGGTAAATGTTTGAGTCATTAATATTTACACTTTACTTAGTGTTCTATAAGACGACGTTTACAACACAAATATACGTAACTAGCGGTCGCCAGCGATTGTTCAGCGCAGATTTAAAAAATAGCCTATAATATGCCAGCGTGCTTCCACTACCTTCACGTCAAAGTCCCGTCAAAATCGGTCCAGTCGTTCCAGACATACAGATAGACAGGCTGACAAAAATGTTAAAAATTGTTTTTTAATTATCAGTAAAATACATGAAAGTTACGTAATAAAATGACAATGGCACGAAAATTATCCTCGAAGTCAACTTTAAATTAATATTATATTAACAAAATAAAACAATATAAAACTGACTCTCCATTTGGCTAAATGACAATCAAATTATGACGCTCACCGAAACGTAATTAAATTAATCTCTGGCCTCGTTACGTTTCATTTTAAAGACGCAGCATTTAAAAGATCTTAGCACATTAAATGAAATAAATTATAAAATTATGTATCTGAATATACTTTAACATAGAATATTATTTAGGAATATTTTAGCGATGTACAGTCAGATGCAATAATATGTCTACGTTTTCAAATCATCAGAAATTTATATAAACTAACGTTTTCATTATTATAGACATACCAACTTAAAGAACGTTGTGTAATATATGGGCAAAAAATAAAATATATTTGATTGTTTCATGAAAGCGGATGCCTAGACATTAAAATGACGACTATGTAATTCGTCTTTTCGACAATATTGATAACAGACATTTGTATCTACCATTATCTCTATCAACCTTTATCTGCAATATAATATTTGATCCGGTTACGAAATCAAAATAATATTGGCTGTAAAATTGTACTACTATCATATTATTATGATTCATGTAAAAAAATAGAGATATTTACGCGGAAATTCCTACTTTATTTCTTTCATAAAATCAAGGAGAATGTTACGTGGTACAAAATTGTATCAAACCAGACACAGAATTCGTTATTAGACACACAATTTAAAAATTGTTTAAAAAAAAACAAATTAAAAAAATAATTCTTTGTCAAAGCGTACTTGTCCGTTTTTTTTCATGAAAAACAATGTCTTTCTTGGCTGTAGCGAGCTTGTGCATTTGCCTTTATGTCGTACAGAATATTTAATTAGAACGGCCCATATCTACACAAGAGTTAACAATACCTCATTTGTTCTCATTGGCTCCGTACGTGAGTCGCTTTTGTAACGACTTATTTGTCTTTAGGCCCTTCGTTCACAAGTAAATCGTCGAAAATAAAGTACAGCTGAGTTGCAAGACTCTCGTAGCGCGTGCTCCGTAGGCCCTTTGTAGACAGGGCAACTAAAATTTTTAATACCCCGTGATTTTAGTCGCGCACGGCATACAAACCACTATAACATAACGTTGCATGAGTCGCTTAGCGACTAAGATCGCCGGGTTTCTTCAAGACTTGTGTTGCCTTGCGTTCGAAGGGCCGGTCTAAATACCTAAGCCTTTAAACCAAACAAAGGAAAGTACCCAAAATTACTTTAAAAAAAATAGCTTACAATATTTTATGTTTTCTATCTTATGTCCAACAGAAATTATTGGATCATTTCTCATCTACGAATTTATTTAAGTGAGTTTCCAAAAACAATTACAAATGAATCAATCGCTTCTAAAATTAACGAACTCTTTTTAAAAAAATACATTGATGAAAAGTCAGCTCCGATTCTATTTAAAAAACATAAATAAAGCTCTATAGTATTGTATGTTACGAAACACTTATCCCTTTTGCAATTCACAGTAGAAGAAATAAAAGAAATTTCTTTAGATCTTTTTCCCCCATTTTATTGACGCACTTGACCGACCCTTTTTACTCTGAATAAGCGAATGGATATTTTTTCAATAACAAACAGTTGTTGAATACAGACATATAAAGATGTTTAATTTATTTATAGTTTTACTAGATTTTCTAAAAGCACTCAGATTTCAGTGAATTTCATCTAACAAAATTATGATCGAAATAGTAATGCAATCTTACTTATACTATAAATGCGAATGTTTCAATGTATGTATGGATGGATGTTTGTTAGAAAGTAGCTACAGAAAGAATTTCTTTGACATTTGGCGTAGATATAGAACATATTTTGGAAAAAACACATAGGTAATCTACTAAGTAAGTTTTATCTTTAATTGCGCGTGAACGAAGTCGTAGGCGACTGTTAGTATAATATATATAATAATAATATAATATTAATATTGCCTATCAATACTCGTAAACCTTCATAAAAAGTTCGTAAGATATGATATGTTATGATAGTAAATGTCCGGGAGCAGAAAGTATCCGAAATAAAAATAAAACCCTTCTTAGTGATTCGCCCATTACGACAAAGTATCGCAGTTATTTGCTTACAAGAACCCCGATTTATTCAAGTACAATACTTATCCTCGGGTCTTATATTGCTCTATTTTGAGAAATAATATTTACCTTTATACTTGATATGTGGGTAGAGTATTCAGAACAAAAGTAACTATTGATATTGTAAACCAAATACAATTTATTGGTTGTGATAGTTATTGAATTCACTATATAAATATTTCAATCTTGCTGTCTGTTAATCTGTTAGTACCTTGTTTTGTAGTCAACCAGCCAGATATGGGGGATTTAAATTCTGGTAATAATTTTATTATACAGACGCAGTTTGCATTTTGCATACAATTTTTTCAAATGTGTTATATATCAAAACAAATCATTCACCACGGTTATGGAATATAAATAGGCTACTTCATTCCGTGCGTGATAGTGCTTCTCTGGATGTCTTCAATAGAAGATGGCAATATGTACGTGTATATGTTCAAGTTTTTCAAGTGTACAATAAAGAATAAATATTTTTAAGTACAGTACTTACGTACATTAATAATATACCTACTTTTGACTTGTATCTATTGTTATCAAAATTAAATAAAAAGTTCTTGACTTGACCACGACTATGTGACCCTCTCCTGGCGCCAAATTGGATCCGCCCTTGTGAATGTGTTTCATATTTTCTAACTCTTTAAACAAGCTCGTTAAGAGTACAGTTTTTAAAATTATTTTTGAAGTGACAATATCTGGGATTAACCCGTAATACTAGTAGCTGGCAACACAATCAAAATATCTTCACAAGGACGTTGTTTGTTTTGGCTTGAGAGTACTTGGCAGCTTTACGCCGATCAAGTTGTGTGTTAACCCCTCTGCGTCACTGTCCTCAGTAAACGATGTATGTTATCTATTTTATATGTTTACGTTATGTCTATTTTATAGTATATGTTTATGTATATAATAGTATATGTATGTTTTTATTACTTTTTTTCTTATGACAATTGTATGAAAGTCGAGCTTTTTTTAATGTTTACATAATTAATATCAATTTAGCAGATTTCAAATCTCATTTTAAACACAAAGTTTTTTTATAATATTTATTTAGAAGTATTATTTAAAAGAAAAAACATTAATTTGAGAGTCTTTACGAGCAGAACTGCATTGCAGGAAAACAAGCAAGATTATATTGAATTTTTACTCACTGCATTTAAGAACTTTACGTAACTTACACAGAAAGCAAATACAAAAATTTATACAAATGTAAAGTTTAAATTAATGTTTCGTATGATACATAAATAAACAAAGATAAGATAAAGCTAAAGAAAAGTGTAAAAAGGATTGCCTTATCTATTCACATCGCGTTAAGTCTGAAACGTTACAGGCAAAGCTCCTTGGGATTTGAATACGAATCTACGAAAATTCAAGACTTGTAAAATACACAAATAGGTACTAGAAAGAAAACGCTACTAAAATATAATCAATGTTTATATTATAAAAGCTATTTCCAAGTGTTCATTAAAGAGTTTATATTAAAAAACATTCATCAATTGATTCGTATAAACAAATACGTTTGTAATAACCTGATTTATCTGGATTAGGAGGTCGATGTCTCTGTCTGCCATGCCACCAGCATCCACAACAAGGCATCACTTGAGATTATCACATCATATCACATCCCACTATCATATGGAACACTTCATTGAGTTCAGATTAATATTAACATGTATATCAACACAAATATCACAAACTCATACATCAATATGCAACACTAACACAATATTGTTTCCAACTAAATGCATCGGCATGAATTCTCTAAACACTTTACCTAGGGCAAGGACGAATAGAAAATTAGAATAAAACAAAGAATTACATTTAATTTAACCATTTAAATAAACAGAATATAAAGGTTTTATTTTCTGTTTTAAAATTTACGTTACAGATAATATCGTATGTAAATCGAATGAAATTTGAGATCGGTGGGAGATGCGAAACACAGGCAACCGCGACGGCGTTCTGCGCTCGACTACGATTTGCGACGTTCACGGCCGAGACCTGAAGGCTTTCGCTATTCCAGAGTTTTCATTATTTACAGCGAAAATTCGAACGAGCTTTTGTTAACTACATTTTGTTTTTCGTTTTTTTTTATTTCTCAAGGGAACTTTTGGCATTAATTTTCACATTTTTATTATACTGATACGTATGGTTATTTTATTTCTTAAATTAGATAAATTGATTCTATTTATTAATCTAGGTAAAAAATTAATTAAATTGAATTCATTGCACAATGCTTAACAAAGTGTATCCGCTTTTACATTCATACTGCTGATACCGTCTGCCTATAGAAAATGAAAATAACCTATACAAAAGATATTTTCATGTTTACACAGAGCCGAGAGAATCTTGGATCTGAATGAGTAAAAATAAATTTTCTTTCTTTAACATCCGTTGTTTATTTTAATTTTATTTTTTTAATTCGATATACGTAGATGCTTTTTCAAGTAAGTGTCGGGTAAGAATATTGTACAAATAAATATCGAAGGGAAAGTCCGTATTTGTTTATGCGATATTTATATTATAGCTCTTAACTCTTTATTTATATTTTTACTTTAAATGAATCGGTTCGATTTTTCAGCATATTAATATATATAAACTCAGTAGTGTGGCCAAGACTCAGACACATTTGAAGTCACTGTTGTATTTTAAAAGTAAATCAAATTTTATTTAGAACAAGCTGTCACAAGCGATTCCGTCCGCGCGGAATTAAAAAAAAAAATAATTAGCAGCCTATATGTTCTTTTAAACTATGTTCTACATTTATGCAAAAGTTCAGCAAGGTCCATGCTGCCGTTCTAAAGATACGTTCAAACAAACATCCGTCCCTCTATCCATCTATACATTCGCATTTATAACATTAGTAAGAAGTATTGACTTTCGTAGCAAGAGATTCGTAAAAGAAGCTTTCGACTTTACAGAGAACGTACTATTTGTACTAAATATAGTTCAAAGAGCACTTGACTTTATTTCATTAGCCTGAATTTCAAAAGCTCCGTTCACGTATTTGAATCCTCTTTGAGTTTTCATTAAGAATACTTAAAACTTTAAGCTCTTAAGGATCTATAGATTCTTAAGGCATTTTTTGTAAGACTTAAATATTAAAATTCTAAAAATCTTCGAAATCATTTATAAAATAAATACCAGTTTAATGACAGAGAAAATAGTTACAAGTAGCAGTCCTTTACACGAAATGTAACATAAGATGAATGTTTGTTAAAAGCTTGACTTTTTCGAATACATTTTCCACCAATTTCTAAGACCGAGGCGTGTCCTCGAATAAGATAAGTATCGCTACGTAAGAAAAGGTTTAGCGAAATTAGGTAATAAATACAACAGAAGCTGATCGCAAAAGTTATACGCATTAGTGTCGACAATTAATTATGGACAATTGGGGATAATAATATGGGTAATTTTATTATACCCAATTAACGATTTGGGATATTTCCAACGCGCTTAACCGATATCGTACGCTATTTTCCTGCTGTTGGTGAATATCAAAATATTATTTTATACTAGCTGTCGTCTGCGACTCCGTATGCGTGGAATTAAAAAACTTAGTTCCCAACAATTATTCGAATATTTCTTAGCTTTTATACCTTCCCTAGACCTCCACGAACATTTCAAGACCAAGATAAGATAAATCCGTTCAGCCGTTCTCGACTTTTAGCGAGACTAAAGAACAGCAATTTATTTTTATACTATTTTGAATTAGGGTATGTGAAAATGTAGTGAAATATAAAGATGCTATTCAAATAAGAAACTATTCAACGTGTTTACAAAATCGTTATCAAATGAAAATTTGCAAAAGAAACTTACCTGTAGCGGAACCACTATTCATGTTGGCAGTTTGCAGGTTAGATTTCTGCTGTGGCGAAGGTAATCGGGATGTATCCGTCTTCGCGTTGCTTTGAAGCGATGTCTTTGTAAAAGGCGTGGGAGAATTAGGTAATGACAATGGAGATGATAATCGTAAGGGAGATGTGGGAGTCCCAAGATTTGAAGGTAAAGATAACTTAGATTCAGAAGAAAGTAGGATACTTGGTTTGGAATCCGATTTATCAGAAATCGATTCAGTGGTGCAAAGAACATTAGTTAATTTCATGTTAAAAGAATTGATGTTTGTTTCTTCAGTAGCTTGTTCCTTTTCTGTGGCGTGTGACATCGTGTTCTGAAAAGATATAGGAATATGAACTAAAATAATCATTTATAGTCTTCTACGGCTTCCTCCTTCCACTTTAAGCATCGTATCTTTGGTAAATTGTTCATTTATGAATGCCGAGTTAACATGCAATCGAGCAAACTATATATATATATATATATATATATATATATATATATATATATATATATATATATATATATATATATATATATATATATATATATATATATATATATATATATTTTATAACAGAAGGGGTCAAACGAGCAGCGTGGGCATCGAGGTGTTCAACGACGCCCATGGACATCAGCAATACCAGAAAAACCGCAGATGCGTTGCCGGCCTTTGAGATGGTGATACGGTCATACATATTCATACAATGACGTAAAAGGATCGACTGAAAACGTTCAAGCTGCTAGTGAAATAGTTCATGGTATTTTTTTTAAAGTATGAAAATTGCATCGTAGTCATTTCAGGATATTAAGAGGATAGTCGTGATTCGTGATGTGACACATTTCCGTGACTAGGGTTGACATTTTTATACGATAAAGTCATATTTTTTAAAGAGAAAGAGTAAATAGTCTAATTTAATAAGTATGTAGTATATGGCTCTTAGGATTGTTTCAACTATTATAAATTTAAGCACAAACATAAAAAGGACTCGATAATGTTGTGACAATTTATTAAAAAATGGGCAGCTGGTGGAAAATTTACGATTATTCGTATGCTCGATTAAAGTGCACTCTTAAAAATATATTTTATATGAAACATCATTGTAATAATCTAACTAAAATAACGTACAATAAAGTATGGTTGACAGCCCTATTCGCGACGCTACGCGCACGTATCTGAGCGAGATGGCAATAGCGCTGTGTCGAATGTGTGACAACAGCAGCAACACAAGGCTGTTTATGTTCCCCACTCCCCGCCCCACCCCGCGTTACCATTTAGTACAAGTCAGACAACGCACGACACAAGTTGTGCGCTTTTAATTTTTATAATATACCGGCAAGTGCAGAAAACAAATTAATTAAAACCACTTTCGTTATAGCTAATAAAATATCGCAATAGATTAAACGCGAGCAATTTTTAAATAATTTTAATCAATTATTTTTAAATAGACTGTCAGTGAAAAAGTGTAAAAATGAATTCAGAGATAACAAATAAACCGATCGGTCTAAAGTTAAGAGTGTTACATTTTGTGCGTTTAATGATTGCAGCCGTGGCTAGATTCTTCTTTACATTGTATTACGGCGCAGAAGGGGAGAAGTTACCCCCCATAACTGATGACACCCTTAAGTTACCGGCTGTTGAGGTTGCTAAGAAAATTAGACGAAAAGAGGTATTATTGTAATTTATATAACGCGTACTCATAATGTTGACTTACTGTAATGTAAGATAATGTTACGAGATAAAATTATTTGTTAAGATACAAGATTGCAGGTATATTTTATTGAAGGAAAATTCATTATAGAATTTTGACATGTGACACAATGACACATACTGTTATAGAGAACAAAAAATATTCTGTGTGGAATTTTAAAAAGATAAATATGTAGGTATGATTCATGTATGTACAAAAAGGTACCGTCGAGATATCCTTATTATAATACTTACATATTTACTCTTAAGTAGTTTGCCTTTTGTTTTTTTGTACCTATAACACAATTTTCTCTTACCCTTGGTTTCTGAGAATTGGTTTATAAAACATATCGTCATCCCTGTCATTATTTTTGACAAAACAGAGATCACAATATGTTTTAAACAGGGATTTTGTACTTAGAAACTCGCGTTTAGAGATTCGAGTTAGACTCCACAAGCTTAAATGCAAATTTAAGACATCAATGCTATAAAAGAATGTATTGGTAATAAAAGAGGTAGTGAATTATAAGTACACTGACTCTTAAATACTAACAACTTCAATTGATTGATAATGGCAACAATCGAGAGTAGTTTGCTGGCCAATGACGTCACTGGGTGATTCAACTGTGACACGCACAAATACCCGGCAAATTGAACGAGTCGTAAAGCTGTCCTATATATTTTTACCAAATGAACAAACATATTCTATTATATAAACGATTCTGACAAAAACTCATTCTTTTCGTACACGTTCACACTGTTAAAGATAAAACTATTGAAAAAATTTATTACTAAATTCACGGGCCTTCTATAATAAGGTTATGATTTACCGTGGAAATATACTACGTTGACAATCTTTTACATAAATAATAATAACGAGTTACGGGTACCCTTGACTTCATGGTAACGAAGTAAAAAAATGACGTTCAATGATAAAAACAGCATTTACTTTTAAGCATTTCATCGACATACGGCGACTTGTTTACTCTACTCTTTCTGACCCGAAGACATCAAATATATAGCCGAATACGCACCATGCAAATCTGAAGAGCGGCAGCCCTAGTTAAATGTCAAACTGGATTGTGTTTTGTTGCAACGAAAAATATATAAAATCCGTTGGTTTACGGATTTTATATGTTAAAAAACATAATAAATAGTCTAGGTTGGGGACAGATTCAAAGACTTACCTAGTAATTAGCAATTCAAATTTACCAATAAAGTTATCAAGATAGTAGGTTATCTAATGAATGCATCTGTACTTAAAAGGTTATGAAGTATTGGTATCAGGCAGTAACTACTTTATACAATTGGAATGAATTTTTAGTTCAGTTTTATATCAAAAGTTTAGTTTTATATCAAAAACCTTATCTATTATTTGACAGAAATGGAACCTATTGTAAGAGTTTGTCGTTTTCTGCGAAGAAGTGACAATTTCTGAGAAAGCTCTGTCTTTGTTTCAGATTTCGAGTGTGGTAGTTGTAGAAACATGTATTCGCCGTATACGTGATATTAACAGCGCACTCAACTGTTTTGTTGAGGATCGTTTCAATTTGGCTCTGAAAGAGGCCAAAGAGGCAGATGACCTTGTCAGTAGTGGAACTAAAACAGAACAGCAATTGGCGCAAGACGTACCGTTTTTAGGCGTCCCCTTTACAACTAAAGACTGTATTGGAGTTAAAGGTAACCATAGACATTAATATATTAACTAGCAATCGGACAATTATTGAAGTTTAGACTTGACGAATATTAATATTAATTTTTCGTTAAAATCTTGTTTTTCGTTTTAATTAATTTTATTAATATTACGTGCGTTGGAATTATTAAGTTGATAAAAATTTCAAATGTCATGAATTAAACAAAACCAGTTATATAATCGCGATAACAACTTAGACAAAATACTTAAAGATCTAGAAAAACTCCATGCAGACTAAAGAGGACAGACATACATAGAGGAGGACAAACTTGAAAACAAAATGCATAAAGTTCTCCAATTTCCCATCCTTTACTGCTGTTTATTTTTACTATAAGAGAAACTTAAAAGTTTACAGATCTATTAGGTTCATAATTCATTTTTAAAAGTAATGGTCTATAAAATAAACAAGCCCTTGGCTGACCTCCTATGTTTATAAGTATGCAGTTTAGTGACTTTCCAACAAGTTATATTACGAAATAAATATTTTAAGTCCGCGTTCGCCCCTTAATATCAATACAATACGAATACTTCTTGTAAACTTTATTAATTTTATAATTGTAATATTCCAGGACTACATCTAACAGCGGGAGTGGTATTAAGGAAGGACGTAATCGCCGAGGAAGACGCTGACGTCATAAAACTGTTACGTCACAAAGGAGCCATCATTATTGGACTTACAAATGTTCCTGAACTTTGCATGTGGTACGCATAAAATTGATTTTTGCATAAATTATAAGTCGAGTTGAAACATTGTTATTGTGACCTTTGACTGTAATCTGCAATTCTCCCATTGTTTAATTTTTAAACACAAAGAGGATAATTTTACCTCGACTAAAGAAAACACAGAATAAATCGACTGAAACTACAATACATAGCGACAACTTTCTGGTGCTTTAAAACTATGAATCCGACTTTAAATGCGAATGTTTGGATGGATGGATGTTGGTATGAAGGTATCTTCAGAACACCTGAATGGATCTCGCTGAAATTTGCTCCGATTTTTCATAAGTACTTCATTTTTCTATAATATATTCTAAATTAGGCTCTAGATCGTCACAATAAAATTTACGTACAGACACATTAAAACCAACATACGAACGAAATAATTTTACTCTCTTTGCCAGTCGGCTAAAAACGAGTTTTACCACTATTATGAAGGCGTAAAAACCAGAAATTATTCGTCATATAAAAGTCGTTAAATTGTTTATTGTAACAATAAAAACATTTATTGTTCAAAATAAGTACACAATTCTAAAGTAACGAACATTAAAATATATTTTTAGTGAAATACATACAAAAATAAAAACCATTTTTGATACTCGCGTATAGATTTTACGAAATAATTATTGAATTAATCCGTTGTCGTTAGTTTTTTTTTGTTTCAAGCTATATAGGATTTTTTTGCATTTAATGTTATACGCAACTTAACGTAATTATCAGATTGAAACGAACGATAACTGTGTGACTAAAGAATCAGATTAACTAGTCATTCGGTTCCTTTTCTGTATGTACTCGTAATATAAATTATGAACAAAGGACTTCATTCTTATGGCGGAACGCGAACAAAAGAACGGAAGACCGTCGTCGATCTTGATGTGCTATAATGGAACAAGATAAGCCATTTAAGACCTAATTTCACCAGAGCTTTATAAACGTAATAAATGTCTAATTTATAGACGACATAATCATGGATATAGCCATCTCTTTTACACTCTTTGATAGACAACAGGCAGTGAAAATTCATGTTAACTATAGTACCATCACTACAGTAGTACGTATAAAAAATATACTATTTTTATAAAATGTTTATGAAGTATAAATTATAATATTGTTGAGCCAAATATTTTATTAAGTAAATAAGCTGTATGTAGAAATAATAAAGGCTTTTGTTTTTTTAACATTATAAATGTGTAATTAAATTTTAAGTTATATTTAACTTTACCAGTACTGTGGTTAACGACTGATGTCAGAATTGTAAGCCACATTCGCAATAGGAGTTGGACACGAACTCGGAAAAATACAAAGTCAACAAGTAAACATGCGACGGACCTTGACTGTTACGTAAACATGTGGGACACAACAAACAGTGGGTTTACACCAATGAAAGAAGTATAAAATTGTTGCTAATTAAGTTTTTTGAAAGAGGATGATTAGGATGATATAGTATACAATAACCCATGATAATGTTTTCACTTAATAACTCCAAACAGACACGGATTATATTGATTATTTTTATGGTATCAACGAATTACAACTATGTATTACGTTAATGTGAATTAACTAAGTTTAAAACATATAGTTAAGTCCTCCTTTATGGCGACAAACCTATAGGCATCAACGCGCCATTTTTCTAAAAAAAATGTTTAAAAAGTCATAGATGTGCCAACTATTTTAACTGTGGTTATTGTAAACATTTCGTAGCGTTGAAATAACTCGAGTTTGCTCACCATGTAAACCTACTTCACTTTTTCGTAGAGCAATTATTGCTTACGCCATAGCACGCAGCCTCGACATAATAACAATGTCCGTGACCTTCATACGACATGATCTTTGCTTACAAAAAGCACATGGTACTACTATGAACGTTATATCATAACTACAACATAACTCACGCCCGCAACCCTGTGGGGTAGGCAAAACACGGTCTTTCTTGGTCATTACGCACGGTCCTGACATCTCTTTTGTTTCTTCTACGTTCATACATTTACATATATATGCACGTCGTAGTCGAGTGCTCTTTAACCACCTTCCTCGAGTATTTGATCGATCTGCACGGTATAAAACCGTCTGGTACATTGATTCATAACTAGGTCAGAATAGGTCCTCAGAATATTTAATCTAGTGAACCGATTTAGTCAATTTTATGTATCTGTCTATCCAGGCAAACTCGAATCAAAGTAGTATTATAATTAGTTAATGTTTCTTAGGTGGGAAACTCACAATCATATACATGGAAGGACCAACAATCCCTACAATACAACGAGGATAGTTGGAGGGTCGTCAGGTGGTGAAGGATGTATCCAAGCAGCGGCTGGAAGTATATTTGGAATTGGTATGTTTGGTTTTAAAAAGTCATAATAAAATCAATGATAAAAGACTTGGGATGATCCATTTAATTAAATTTGTAATTTCTTAACAGGTTCTGACATCGGGGGTTCCATTAGAATGCCAGCATACTTCAATGGCATTTTCGGACACAAGCCATCCAGGAATATCGTTTCAAACTCGGGCCAATATCCCATACCGCAAACTGAGTTGCTTGATTCATTTTTAGGTACGTAGAATATTCTGAGTTACATTCCGTCATGAGTGGATAGCACTGAACGTGTTAATCATACTATTTTTTTTTCAGGCATTGGCCCAATGACAAGACATGCAGTGGACTTGAAGCCTCTTTTAAACATAATAGCTGGAGATAACAGCAAGAAATTAAATTTAAATGATAAAGTTGATGTTGGAAAATTGAAGGTTTACTATCAATTCAGTAACGATGCCCCATTAACGGATCCCGTGGACCCTGAGATCATCGCAGCCATGAAAAAAGTTGTAGAGTTTCTCAATGTTCAACATCAAATGGAACCAAAAGAAATAAAGATACAACAACTTACAAAATCTATAGCTATTTGGCTCGCGAATATGAAGAACGAGAAGAAATTCGGATATTTTATTATGAAAAATGATAGCGTATTCTCAATCTGCAAGGAGATATTTAAAAATATTATAGGTTGTTCGGGAAATACATTTATAGCTCTAGTCACATCACTATTTGATTACAATGGTCCAAAAATTGGTGATGACAAATATAAGCATTTCTTAAAAGAACGTGATGAATTGGAAAAAGTTTTTAAAGAAACTCTTGGTGATGATGGAGTCCTTTTGTACCCTACACATCCAACCACAGCTCCTTACCACAATGAGCCACTGTTTAGACCTATGAATTTCTCATACACTGCAATAATAAACTGTCTGGGATTCCCATCGACAACTGTACCTTTAGGACTGAGTAGGGAGGGTCTGCCGATTGGTATTCAAGTAATAGCTAATCATAATAACGACAGGTTATGTTTAGCTATGGCTGAAGAGCTTGATGCAGCATTTGGAGGATGGAGAGAACCTCAAAAGGCCTAAAAAATAATTGCATTTAGGCGTATATCACATTTTTTAAATATTTATCTATTTTTTTACTAAGAGAAGTTATTTTAATGTAATAATTATATTTATGGAAAATAAATTTGTATTATTGAAGCCCTTCTTTGATATAAATATGTATTAAATATTCTTTAGATATAAAGATATAAATTGTATAAAACTTAAACATTAAAAATTTTTATTAATATGTTTTAAAACACCTAAAAACCATGACCTTGGAATCATAAAAAAAATAACAACTGAAGTTCTATTTACACAATCAGGTTCTTTAATTATTTCCTCTTTGCAGATAACCTTGATAAACGACAATCGTTACGGTGGCGCGTCTGACAAGGCAGTAATTAACGGTGACTCACAACAATGTCTAGTAAACACCAAAATGTGTATTAATGTAATATTCAAGAAATGTCCATTACAATACAGTTTGTAAGGAATTGTTGACTATTTTTCTTGTTATTCTTTGGATGGATGGAAAATACTCGTTTCTCTTTCATCTTTTCCACAAAAATTGTTATGTCACTATTTTAAATGTTGTTGAAAAGCATCATTTGTAACTTTATACTTTAAAAAACAATGTATATTTTATTTGTAGATACGTTGCAATTGCACAATTTACCAACAACAATCAATAAGCATCTGTATTGTGTAAGCCTATGAAATTTATTGTAAAATTAAATTAATATGTAAAATTAAATCCATCAATTCTTGATTGAATAGATGGATTTTTTTATTGTTTAAGATATGGATAGAGTTTTTTCATACATCATTTAATTTCAACAATATATATTTCATTTATTGAATAAATAAAGTTAACATGTCATCTTAGCAATCTATTGTATGCAAGTCTGGATAAAATATCTTAAAATCAATTAACATGTAATCTTACATATGGCCTTATGGAATTGAGTATTATAGGCAAGAACATGTAGAGACAGGATTAAAAAGTAACAATTTATTGAATTTATCATTAAAACAAACTTATACTTTTGTCTTGGGTCAAATATGCACCAATTATAAAGTTAAATTAGCTTATTTCATATTAACTAGGCTTTTTATTATATTCATAATTTCCTTTCGTTTTTGATTTGGGTTGACTTTAATTTTCATATCACATGAGCCTATTTCTCTGTATTTGGAAGCCCAATGAGCAAGCACTTCGGTATTGCAAATGACATGTATTCCACAATCATAGCCATTGCTTTGTTGCTGGCATTCCTTGTCACTGAAGCTAATAGTACCTAGAAAGAGTCATTTTATAGTTAATTTAATTGCAACTTTATAATTAATAAAGAATAACATCAAATCTTACCCTGTTTTGCCAAATAAGACATCAAATGACTAGCAAAGTCCCATGCTACATTATGATTACTTCCTGAAGATGAATCAAGGTGGAAAAAACAACTTTCCATCTTGGAATAAACAAGAAGGCTCCAATGTGAACCTCCTGCCATGTCTGGTGAGTTATTATCATTTAATGCAAAAAATACAAATTGCTTCATGCTAATATTCAAAGGTTCTAAAAATATTTTTATCTCTTCTGGTTGAACCATTTTGATGCACTGTGTTACTTCAGGAGAAACAAATAATAAATCTTTTGCATTTTTGAAAATGACTCTGTCTAGATACTCAAAATAAAAGGAAATTATAGTATCGTTCAGCCAATAGGGCCCATCCAGTAATTCTATATCAGACTGATGTAGTAAGGTTTCATGAAAACTTAATATAACTGACGTTTTTGCCATTTTATGTGTATACACGATTTTTTCAAAATTCTTCAATCACGACAACATCTGGTAATGAACAGAAAATTTAACCAAAATGCACAATTTGTTGTAAATAAAATTGTATTTAAATGAAATATAGAACTTACCAGTTTCAGCACAAATAATCATAAATAATCAGCTTGAGATATTTTTAACGACAATATCAGGTTTCACGAAACAGTAATGTTAAAATTTTGCACAAAATTGTAAATGATAAATAACATTCAGTTGCCTTTTCGGTTACATGTAAAAATAGTCTTTAGATCCTCGTTCAGTAAAGCAATTATTAAAAATCTATCACTACACACCAACAATTTGTCTTACTTTTATGATTTTTGGCAAATTGGCAACTGTCAATATTGACAATTCAAAATTGAGTTGCTGTCACAGTTCTGCACAGATTATAATCGTGTTTTGGTTCCGAATCATAACATACTTTTCTTGAATTTTCTTGTAATTAATGAGAAAATAACATGCTTTGAAGTGAAGAGTTTAAGGTACATTGAGAGTAATTTTAAGCAGATACAAAAGTGATTTTATTCTTTTTTTTTAAAATAATAACGTCATTCTGATGTCGCGATTTCACGTGATTACAATTATGGCAACATCGAAATGGCAAACTTACCGTAGTCTTCCACAGCAATTATATATAATACAAACTGTAATCCTAGCGGAATAATTTACTGTAATCGCAATCGATTAGACAATTAATTAAAAACTAGGGAACGAAGTTGGTCATTGGAGACCACCCTACACTTTCTTCAACCACACGCCCTCTGACACATGGGAATCTGTAGCTTACTGAAGTCACCAAAATTAATACAACACGCTGCTTTAAACAATTTATTTTTGTAAAATAAACAGACAAAACATTGTTATAATCTACACTGGTAACATTATACAGGAACCATTAATAATAATCAAAATTTTACTACATCCTATTTAAGTATAATTTTATCTAAGGTTAATTACAAATAAAAAAAACTTTCGGTGTTGTCTAAGAATAATTTAATAACATTTAAAACATTCACAACATTACATTGAATGGTAGGCATCAAACTTGAGGCAAAAAATTGATTGCACACAAAAACTTGTACTCAATGATGGGATTCGTCATGAATGATCATTTCCTATTGTTTTGGTCACATTAAAATAAAATATACAATAAATATTAATGATACTGATTGGCCTAAAAAATGAGGAGATAACTTCCAAATCATAATGGAATTTTCTACTCATTTTGAGGTATTGTTCCTAAATTCCTTATAGGTTACTTGCTGGCTTCTTTCAAGTACGCAATGAGGTCTGCCCTCTCATTGGCCTTTTTGAGACCAGCAAACACCATCTTGGTACCGGGGATGTATTTCTTAGGATTCTCTAGGTACTCAAACAGAGTATCCTCTCCCCAAGTGATGCCTGCAAATTACAAAGAAAAATTATTTATTACTAGTTTTCCCGCTTCAAATTATTTTTTTATAATAAAGATAATTAATAGTAAATCAAAGATAACTTTAACACATTAAATTGATTTAGAAACATATCTATCTTGCTCTATCTTATCAATAATGTGGAATTTTAATCCAAAAATTTATGCATCAAAATGATAAGTTTAACTGTATGGGTTTTTGGCATGGCTTTTCAATGTCAAAACTCTTGTACAAATATATATCTCTTTCAACTTTTCCATAGAGGGAACTCATAAATGCACTGAAGGAACATTGTAAGGCTTTTAGTTAGTGGTATTAGAAAACTTGCCTTCATAATAGGGGATTTGATTAAAAAAGATTGAGTGGAACCATGTCATAACAGATCAAGTACCAACACTATTTATTTACCCTATTTAGTTTCTTTAATTTAGAAAAAGAAAAACAGTTAAGACAAGATATATTTGAGCGCAATGGAAATAATAAAGGAGAGTTTTTGTATGTGTAGATGTCTGAATGTGATAGATGCGAGAGGTGTGCTTTGAACACACCAAATGGAAGTCTCTGCTCACCCCTTTTGGAAAGCAGAGATTTATGTTATTGTGGAAACTTAATCAACACTACTTATTTTAATATGGTCTAGTTGGCTTAAATTTTGAAATGAACAAAATGCAAACATTACCTAAATATTAAACAATTCCATTAAAATGAGAAATAATAACAATTTTAAATCTTATATAATATGTTGACATATTTAAAATTTTTAATCACTATAGATAAGGAAACCTTCAACTATGTTAGCTAACCCAACACATAGCTTAGTTATAATGGATGTGAGTTGAGTCATAACGGAATTTTTTCTCATAAATAAATTGAACTGTTTTATTGTGGCAGATTAAAAATTAGTATTATATAATGAGGATTGTTAAGGCAAATTAAAGTAAACTGCCAGTCAAGTTAGAGAAGTTTGAACTTTTGACTTTATTTCTTTTAATGTTAAGGCATATTTTCCTAGCTAGCATATTACTTATTAAGTACTTTATTTATTAGAAATAGACATTTTTACAATATAATATGGTCCAATATTTGTGACTATTAATCCTTCCAGTGGAAGTGTAATAAACTTATAATCATTTAATGATTACATAAGTAGTATCTAAGTGTATACTCCTATCCTTAGTAGCTTTTTAAATGCCTAGTGTGGATGTTAGTTACCTAAATATGTGCTTCTGTTTTTTAAAGTTATAGAGTTACAACATGTGTTAATTTTTTTTAATAAAGCCATTTCAATATCATTGACGTTTTTACCTTTAGCTTTGTTGGCCTCTGAGTATGTGAAGCCGGGTGCTTGACCGGTCTTGCGGCCAAAGAAGCCGTGTAGGTTAGGACCTACTTTGTGTTTACCACCAGCCTCAACCTGTAACATATTTAATTTTAGTTTAGTATAATATAAGGTGAAATAAATTCGTACCACTTTAATAAAATTATATAAAATATCCAAATTGTACGGAATATGTCACGTTAAATTATTTAATTTTAATTGAAACCAAAAAATACAGAATTTAAAAAAGATAATTTACAGATTAAAAAAACTCACAGTGTGGCATTGGGCACATCTTTGGACGAAGATTTTTTTGCCGTTTTCAGCATTACCAGCGGGAATACCCATAGTTTTTGACTGAAACAAGAATTAAATCTTTAAATTAATTTCATTTATGAAGTCGTATTACACGTGTTCCTATTATATAACAATATTTTAATATTGAATAATATTACGCAGTCGTTACATCTGCATACAACCGTAATTAACATCTATGTGTTATATTAACTGCTTAATCTTATAATATTCTTATCGTAAAGGATAATTTTGTGCAACTGGGTCAGGATCAATGTCAGTAGGGAATTCCAAGGTACATGTGTCGTAATGACATTCATCGTTACGTAAGCTTTATAAAATAGAAAAAGGTAAAAACTACAAATTATAGAACAGAATTTTCAGAATAAGTAAGTAGCTAACAATTATTTTATTACATTACGTTGCAATTACAAAAAAAAAATATTTTAAGGTTACTACATCGATCAATACATGACCAACAGGAATTACATTTCTCGGTCGTTTATTTTTAAATAAAATATGATTCACTTACTTTTAATATCCAAGAAGATTAACTTAAATTTAATTCTTTAAAAATTACAATTTTTGCACCAATTGAAGTGAGAACAATCAATCGAAGAACCCAACCAACTGATGTCATAAATGTGATGTCAGTTCATTTCGCTCAAGTTCGCACGCTTGAGGCGCTGCCAGCGGTCATACGAATTCTTCCGATCGTAAACGAGTTTTGCCGAGCTGAAATTAAGGTGGAGTTTCACTGATAATTCTATTGTTCTATTAGATTAAATCAAAAATTTTATTATAGTCGGCACACTTTAGAAATATATAAATCGGAAGTAATATGATAAATTATTGCAACTTTATGTTTATCATGTTAACGACATATTACAATACCACATTTTGCGTGTAACGTTTTGTTTACAAAAACGTCATAATATCGATATTATATTCGGGTCGAACGAGAACATCGATTTTGTGATTATTGCAATTCTTACATTCGAAAAATTTTCCACCCGTAATATTATTACGATTCATAGTAATAATATTACGGGCATGTTCATATTAAAACCACACCTCATTTGAAATGAAAAACATGTCTGTGAAAAAAAAGGAATGTAATTGTTCTGCAGGTTATTATTAAAACATTCTGTCGAGTGATTACATTACTTTTACATTTGTTTTGATTTAACATAAACATACATTGCATTCATTTTAAAATTGTGTTCAAAGTGATTTTGACATAATGTGGTTGATTTGTATTATGGGTTTGATAAATTACTTCATTTTCCGTTTCATATTTTCAATACCCAAATATTGTAAATAGCGCCATCTATTGTTGCAAATGTTTATGATATTCACACAAACTAAAATTATCCACCCAAGTAAATTGTTAGCTATGTCTATTTTTTTTAAAGATGGCAGTTTTTAAAGCATACAAATAACGAAATTCTACTGAAACATTCTCCTATTCCTGGCCGAAGAAATAAATAGATCTAATCCTGACTAATCCTTACTTTACATTATAAATACGAAAATAACTCTGTCTGTCTGTCTGACTATCCTTTCACGCAAAAACTACTGAACGATTTAGATCAAATTTGGTACACAGATTGTCCAGAGCCTGAGAAAGGATATAGGCTACTTTTTAACGCGAAAAAGGGGATAAAAGTTTGTATTTCAATATGTGAGGTTTATGTGATTGTTTTGTAAGTTGAATATTTTTTGTTGTAATCCTTACTGATAAAGGAAAGAATGGCTACTTTTTAATTCGAAAAAAGGGTTCATTTAAATAAATATGACATTCAATGTATGTTCAGGCTAATCTCTGAAATGGCTGGACCGATTTTGACGGAACTTATAATGGCAGGTAGCTGATGTAACAAGGAGTAACTTAGGCTACGTATATTCTAGAAAAAATATCTTTTTTTTAGAAAAGTAAAGTTGCAATGTACTAATGTAACAAGTACTGTCCAGTACCGCGCCCAGCTCAAATTAATAATATTTTAAGCATATCATATTCCCGTTGGATGACTTCAACTGGGAAGTATTGTTGAATTATTAAATGTATTCCACGATTGTAAGTGAATGGAGATAAGGTTATATTTAAATCGTTTTATGTTCATGCACTTTCATTTTCGACAAGAGGCTAAATACGTTCAAAGTTACATGTTTTTATTTAAAAAATGTAACGTGATGGGTGAACTTCCATTTAAGTTAGATATCGAGTGAACTGTCCGTGTGTTTCGACATTCAATTGTCCCTAATATAATTACGTGGACTTCTGATCGGCAGATTGAATTCCGGACCTTGATAAGGGTTAGGGACGGCCGACTGGGAAATTTATTCGAATAATGCTATTAGCCAAATTCGTGATATGCACGCCTGTTGAATAATTTAAAGGAGAAACCAATCTTATTGTTGAATTGTATACTAACTGCTCTACTCAAAGTCGTTAAGTAATTACTAAGGGTTTCCTTATTGTTGATATAGTACTAGTAAACTACATTAAACAACTGGTTAAGTAATCAGTAATGTCCGAGTGTGGCTTTAGTTAGGACGATAAAAAGATATCAGAGATGTCATAATTTGCCATGATTGGGATGGCGGTTCCAAGGAGATCGTAATATGTGGTTATTGAAGGCTGGCAACATTTTATATTGTATACGTTTATATTTTAAAAGGAGTATCATATAAGTGCCCTGGCGTTTTGCGAAAATGAAACGCTTATTACATTTTTCGTCTAGAGTATCCTACGTCGACATTCTTAAACAAAGTTTGTCATCGCGAAATGTTTTTCTAAATTGGCAATATCTTTAGGCGTATAATGGAAAAAGTTTAATATATTTTTGTATGCATGACTAGAAAATCTATTCAAGCAGTGTTGGAGGTAAATTTAGTTCATAACTTTTTTTGAGAACACTTTTTCCTTTTTTTTACCAGGTCGACCAATTTTTTCTCATATTTAAGTTAGTATAATCTGGCCTGATATGAGGCACAGGGTGATAATATAAAAAAAAAAACTAATAATAAATATAGCATGTCACCCGGATAGTGTAGCTTCCCGTGAAAGAGTTCTTCAAAACAGTTAAATAGTTTCGAGGCCAGTTCAATTCAAACAAACAAACAATCAAAGATATTAATATTAATAGTAATAATATAAAAAAGTGAATTAGTAGCCTAAGTGTTTTTCTAGTTCTACATCTCTGCCCATTTTCTGCGAGATCTATACACCCGTTCTGGAGATACCTTCTAACAAACATCCATCCATTCATGTTTGGATTTAGACATACTAGCTGTCATCCGGAACTCTGCCCGCGCTAAATTAAAAAACATAATTAGTAGTCTATGTATTCTTCTAGACTATGTTTATAACTGCCAAAATTCAGCGAGACCCGTTAAGCCATTACGGAGATACCTTCAAACAAACATCCATCCATCTAAACATTCGCATTTATAATATTAAATAATAATTAATAGTAAGAAGTAAGAAGGGTAAGCTTAGATACATGAATATGTAGGCTTAACTCTGTAGTAATTGGAACACAGGAATTGAGCTGCATGTATCCATTACTACTGTATTAATTTTACCCGAGATGCTAATTTAGTTACCACATCTCCACACGATAGTATCAAACGAAAGGAACATTAATATTCATTTTAGATATTGTTGACCATACATCAAACTATTTAGGGTGTGTACACATTTTTACCGTATTTATAATAACCAATTTTACTTATTTTGTTTATTTTTTTGCTTAAAACAAGGTATTTGCTTGGTATTTCAATTTTGAATGCATAAATAGCTATCGTAAAGTGTAATAAATTTCACATGACTGAAAATCAAATGTATAAATACTTCATTGTTTTAATTTTGAACAATACACAATAGCAAATGATTGATTTATTACTGATAAGTTACCAGAGAGAAGTAGTTTTTTTTTGATCATTCGAAGAAGGATTGTGCAATATCACATGCAACATGTATAAAATAATTTTATTTATTTTGTTTCTGAATTTAATATATTTAGGTATTATTAAAAACAATTGAATTTATTGCGTCTTTTTGTTGTTATTTAGTTAATTTTCCTTACAGGTGTGCAAAATGAAACGAAATCAATACGAGTAACATTGAAATTATTAGAAAATATACTTAAATATAATGAAAAGAGAGCCACAGTGACATCAAAAGTGTGTGATAAAAATAAACAATTACGATTATCGATAGAAGAACAAAATAGGATGCCATTATTTTATAAGAAGAAAAACTCGATTGAATCACTAAATAATAAAGTGGATGATATCAAATTACATTATCAATTACAAAAAATAACATTTGTTAATAATAGTAATATGCAGAATATTGACGAATACCGTGATAGAAAAGGATTTAAAAACGTTTCAAATATGTTGTTTCACGAATTAAAAAATGAAAACGAATTTCAGACACAACAGAACAAATCAAATATTGAAAAGGAAAAAGCTACTGATGAAAACGATTTGAATTTACTACCGATTGATACAAGAAGAGGTCAGTACCTACAAACTCATTTAGATAATAATAAAGCAGATTCTGTTAATGAAGAATTGACAGCTCAAGAACCTGAATTTATTACTTCGACTACAGAATTTACTATCAGTAAGACAAAAAAAGGTAACATCCAAAGATCCTTAAGTAATGATAATTATATTTTGAATAGTGAAGACGATGAAGATGATGAAGATATATTATTTAGTTTTGAATTAAATGAAGTTAATAATGATACTACTAAAGAGGCAGAAACTGACAAAAAGACAAATGACAGCGAAAAAACAAATGAATTAATTAAAAATAACAAAGAAAAAGAACTTAGTGAAAGTGTTTCTATAGAATATATAGATAAATCTTTGAATTTGAACATAATAAAGAAACATCCCGAGTTAAGGAATAGTATGAAAATTAATGATTCAATTAACTCGCGTTTTCTGTTAATGGAAAGTCATAGAATATGTTATGCTTGTGTAAGTTCTAGTGATGCATCTTGTTTGAAACCAAACAGAAAAACGACAGTCAAATATTGTCATAAAGATAACAAAGCTTGCGTGGTTAAAAGTTACACTATAGGACGTAAGTAATTTGATTATAATAGTAGCTACTTCGATGTCAGCTCACACACATTCCCCCTGAAAAATTTCCTAACATATCCTACATCTAAGGGCGATTAAATTTTATTGCCAACATTTAATTGACTTTATTTACATTTAGATATTTTGAACTCTGACAGTAAAGAGTAGATAAAATGCACTAAAATTAAAATCTTCTGCAGTTTCTTTGGTATTGCTGATGTCCATGGACGTGGATGATCACCACGGTGTTACCGCTGGTCGTTTGTCGCCTTATCTTAAAAAATATTAGTAATAATTTATCATTTACCAACTAGTTTTTCAAATTTTGGGATAAACCAACCAATAGGTTTAAAAAGAAACAAAATACTGGGATTAGAACCGTTTAATGATAACCTAGTCCTAGTAGGATCCGAACTAACACTATGTAACGACCAGTACGTCAGAAAGTATTGAGTAAATTAATTTGTATTGTTGCAGGTTCAAATTACATAATACGAGATTGTGGATCCTCCTGTATATCTCCAGATATAAATGATTTGGCTATAAACTATGAAACATGCTCTATCTGTCATTCGGATTTATGCAACAGCGCCTATTCTATAACATTTATAGCGCCGTCGATATTTTTATCAATTGCAATAAACAAGATGATTTTTTAATAAAGTTTCGAGTTTGCCCCTATAGTAAGTTAAATAATATTTGTTTTATCTTTTATTATATAGATTTTAATTACGGAACTCTTTCTATTTTTTAATAATGCATCATATACTGACCATATGTAAAATTATATTTTTTTTTCTTCACTTCTATCAATTTTTTTTGTTTTATGAAGAACTAACTGTCACCTGCGACTCCGTTCGCGCGGAATTAAAAAAAAACTTAATAAAATGATTATGTGTTCTTCTAGACTATGTTCTACATCTATATAATATTTCAGCGAAATCCATTCAGCCGTTCCAGAGATACCTTCAAACAAACATCCATCCATCCATCCATACACGTAAACATTTGCATTTATAATATTAGTAAGAATTAGTAAGATAGAAGATAGTCAAGATAAAGACAGTTATCCCACTCACCTGGAATATTTTTTTTTAGGGCCGGCTGCCTGCCTTTGTTCATCTCTACTTGAGAGTTTCCTTACTCTACATAAATTATGACAGTATTAATGTTTATCGTACTAATTTAGAGATACACCCTTACCATTAGTAAAAGCTTAATAAGTCCCTCATATAAATTTTGGTTGGTTTATGCAAGTTCGTCCTTTGTCTTCGTATAGCTGTATTACTTGAAATGGCTTTTAAGATTTGAAGGGTTTGCAAATGTTACTGTTATTGTTTCGCTAGTTATCACGTGACTTTAATACTATCATGTGTTTGGGTAATTTCAGACAGTATTCGTGCTCGCTTTGTCTATGATTTTTTTTATTTCATGCATTTACAAAAAAGCTTAAAACAATACCGTCCCAGCTAAATATCATTATGCGACAACGTAGTTCTTTAAGATGAAGACATTTTCGAAAACAAAGGAATGTTCTTATGTTGTAATTAATTTTAACGATGACCCATTATTTTCGTATAATATTCAAAATATCTTGAACTTTCTCTTTTGTTTCTAAGCATCTCGTAATTATCAAACAATGACAATACCCTGGGTTACTATACATACGCATTATACCATTTTTGATCTGGTACAAAATATATTATGTCAATGGAGACTTCTTGATCGTGGTTCCCCCATTATTATAACAACAGGCTATGTTATGGTATAATTACAAAGTAAAAAGCATATTAAATTGGAATATGTCTTTTAAATTATATAAAACTCTTCTGTTTTCGTTCTTGGTACTATTTATTAGATAAAAATTAAGCTCAATGATCTCGCTGAATTTTGGCATACAACAACACATAGGCTACTAATAAAGTTTTTTATATTCACGCGGACGGAGTCGCGGGCGTCAGCTAGTAAATAATAAAAGCGGAATCTATTTATTTCAGAACCTGTTTGTTATAAAATCTTAAATCTTATTTCCTTGTCACTTGCAGTCACTTGTACTTGGATAAAGTCCAATACAACTTTACGAAGAACTTTCGCGACTGACATATTTGTCTTAACACAATATTATTTCATAATATTTCAACATATTATATTACTTTAACTGACCGAATATGAAGTATAAGATGTCGGACCACTATTGATCTCTGCAACTTTTAACAAATTAATTTATTATCAAAAATGAAACATTATTTTTAAATAAGATTCTGTGTCATTTCCCGTAGACATTACAACGCCCGTCTGTCAATCTGTCAACGAATCCTCGCTTTAAATGAAAAGCCTTTCATTTAAAAATTAAGCCTCAGTTGCAAATCTTGTAAAAATATTAAATGACTTTGCATTTATAACGTACCATTGATAAAATTAGGTCAACTGAAATATTTATTTTTGCACAGAGTCTTCGCAAATGTAAAAAATAAAGAAAACGTTACTAAGACATTTTTAATTCTAATATACTGATAATTTGATTAATTTCTAATATTACAACCAAACAAGTTGTAATCTGTATTAAAATCTATATTCATTCTGACACAAATAATATCCAGAAATAGAACAGAAATGGATATATCTATTTGCATATAAAGTTTCAATTCCCCTGTTTGATGGACTGTGCAAATTGACACCGATGGTACGCCTCATGCGGGATCTGACTCCTGGAATATTCTGTATTAATTGACGCTTGGAACACATTACACGTCTCATTATTTAACTCAAAAACAAACGCCTAAACGCTAAAAATATTTTAAGATAGAAATGTACACTTTACAGAACTATCAACGTACTATTGAGATTAGAAACTTAGGTATAAGTATCGGCGTTTTGATTCGTTTGGTTTTGTTCATTATTAATTTTGTAAGAAATTTTTTACCACAGTTTGCTTCTTTTTTTAGCAAAGATATAATTGTAGTATAAATTACATAAACACATTGTTTACGATAAATAAATGAAAGAAATAAAATAAAATTGTTGTTATTTAATAATCAGAAATTAACTTTAAAACTTTTGATGTATAAACGTAAATTAACATTTTAAATAAGGATTTAATTTTACTTATAACCCGCTTCGCACTGCAGTTTTTCTTTTCTTTAAAAATAAACAACATATGCAAGGTTCAATAACCCAAAGTAGTAAAAGAAAAAAGCAAATGTGCGGCGATAGGAAACACTGAGGCATATCTACATGTATCTTTAGAAATAAAGGCAGGGTTTCACGGAGGATAAGGTTTTACGATGTTACTTTAGAGCTTTGTTTTCTTTAGTTTTTGCAATGTTGGAGATAATAAATCTACCAACAACCGATGTCACAGCCTCCTGTGAAATAAATAATGTAAATGTTTGTAAAAATGTACAATAAGTTTGAATATACATATTAATAAAATTGGATTGCCTTATATCTTGGAATTTCGAACACATATATATTGCGTTGATGATAACAACAAAACAAGTATATCGGTCTGTCTGTTTATACGTTTGTCAACAAGGCCGCGTTTGTTCCGGATAATCTCCGGAACCCCCTTGTCGGGACTTTGACGGGTAAGTAGCTGATACGCGTCATATTATAGGCTACTTTCGAAGGCGACCGCTAGTGTAATATAAAATTAAAAAAGTAGAAAGTTTACATTTTAATATTTGTACGTACCTTTACAGTATTGATTTTCCCTGATTTTTCTTCGGACATCTTTAAGTTTGAAAAGGTAGATGTATCGTTTATTTTTCTTGGTATTGAAATTATTCTGATTCAGACTGGATATCTTAACATATTCGTATTTTTTATTTCATCGTGTTTTTATAATGTTGACTGATTAGGAAAATTATCATGAATGTTGAAATATTAATTTAAACGAAACCCAAAATGTTTAACTCTGGCATATTCATCGATGTTTGTATGTGATGATGGTGGTAATGGTTACTTTTTATATTTTATTTTATTTACATTATGTATTCTTATAGTTTTGTTTGCAACATGATGAAGCGAAAATACAATGACAACTTTATTGCGTGACGTTGTCAAACGTAATTAATTTATGAAAAATAAAGTAAAACCACTTTAGTAAAGAAGTTTGAAATCCCTTAGTAAAAAGTAAAATATATACAGGTAAATAATCCAGGTAACAGACGTGTTATTAGAGAAACTTTATTGTAAGCACTGGAATTTAATCTGAATCGTTCGATGGAACGTAACAGATTACAGATAAGTACAATGCCATTAATATATTATGGTGGCTTGGACATGCATCGCAGAATCAGCAGGACAAAAAGACACAGAGACAGATCACATTCTTTCGCTACCAGCATTGGGTCGCCGATGACCTATTTCACAGACATGAAGTTCCCATGTCTGATGTTACCAAGGAATTTTTTCCGTAAATAAAAAGATTCACAGTAGGCCCTTCTTGGCACCTACTTGCTGTGCATTAGCTATGATGGCCGAGCTAGCATAAAGTGAAAATCTTACAATATATACGCAATACATTTTATTATAAGAAAAATATTACACAGAAAAATATTGTAATTCACATTTTTTGTATTACTCGTAAGAGTAGTCTAGATCAATTTTGTGCTACAAAACTTTTTAATTGACCACATCCACTTGTTTGCGGGAAGTTTGTCGTATCGCTGGAGCAGTCGCACAAGTTGTTAACTTCAGACAAACTTTAAACTGCCACTGGGCGTCGTTTGCATTTCTGTTCGACAAAATTGTTAAATATTCAGTTTATGATTTAACTAATTCGACTCCGTCGAGAATTAAAAAATAACTACACGACGTTCTACAACGCCAGATGTTCTACATTTATTCCTGCAGCTGTTTTGGTTGTACCTTCTAACATACATCCATCTGAGTGACTGACATCTGACTGAGTGCCAAGTCTCAGAAGAAGATGTCGTGGACAGAGCGAAGTGGAAGAGACGTTCATTGTGCGATGAGAGGTAGGCAGAGGGAGAAACAGTCATATTGATACCTCCATATTTTTTAATTTGGTTAAAGGTTAGTCCTCTCTGAAGTTAGACAAATTATCAAAAATATTTTTATGAGTCTTTATTTTGGTGAAATCTGTATTATGATATGTCTGTTCCATTAGAAGCTTCTGTGGTCTACAAAGCTAGATTAGATTAAAATAGAGAGCCATTCTACTCTTATAACTCGGTGTCATTTAAATTAACTACATACAAAGTACTGGCCATTTCTAATAATAAACAAAAGTCAATACTTAAACAACAAAAGAAAAAAACAATCTATTTCCACTATCTTTGTAGATACGAAGAACTTTCAAAGAGCTCTATAAAGACGTGACGCAAAAGGAATAGGGAATCCCATCAGATAATATTCGTTTTACATTTATTCGCCTTGGGGTTTATCGTTTCGGATACTCGTACTTTACTATTTCACAGATGGCACACGGGTCTTTCTTATCTTACAAATATCTAGTGAAGTGACTGATTTGACGACATTTTGTTCCAAATATCTGTATCTCTTATGACTACGACAGTTTATAAACTCTTAAGAACACAGTAGGTTTTAGACATGACCGACTACAAATTAACGAAATTATAAATCGATCGGTGACATGTAATGCAGCAATAATATTGCTTGGAATTGGTTTGTCCTTTATCAATGAACACAGC